GCCCGAAATGAGCTCCCCCCAGAAACGACAAATAATGGCTGACGAAAAGTAAATACACGACTTCGTCATATTCGGGCAGATTCGTCAATGCCGTGGCAAAAACAGCGAGGCCTCCTACTACCGTAACTCCATTTCTTTCGCCAATATTTTTTGGTTTTCGCTGCGCTGAGCATTTGTCGTATCAAAGACTGGACACAAGGCCGAAGCAAACATGCTCTCTGTGGTCGAAAGGTGAACCTCGCGACATCTACATTCCCCGTAACATTTTTCCGAGCATGTACAGAAGACGTAAAAAGCGCGTGTCAGGGCAAAATGTGTTGTGATATAATTGATACTTCGCATTTCTGTAAGTCGATTAGGTGTAGATAGTGTCGAATCCTATTGTAGAACATAAGTCCGTAGGATGACGTCAGCAAATAGCGCTCGTCATAGGACAGTCGTTTCAGTTACGCGAACAGTCGCACCTCTTCATTATCGTTTAGGGCGCATAGCGCGATAGTGACGAACATGTACATTAGCGAATAGGTACTTTCCTAGAGCTATAAATCTTTGTTGTGTCCTTTTTATGATTAACCTTGAGATTTCAACTTTGAGAACTTTGAGACTTAACTTCTGCAGAAACATATACTCAGGTTCACTCTTACAAGACTTCCACTGTCTTACTAGTCTACCGTTCCAGTAGAGATCCTGGACCAACACTTGAGGATTTCCAAGTGTTAGTGTTTGCAGTTTTATACTTAGTCTTCTACAACATTGGACAAGTTATTTCATGGTATGAGAGCTATCTGGAATTAAGACTACTGTCAACAATGACTGGTTCATCACCAGCACTGTCTGCCGGATCAACTTCCGGAACTACTGGAGTACATGTCTCCACTACCGCCACTGGTCTCTCAGCCTCTAGGCCGTTTCCACCAGCCTATGCTCATATCGGTATGCAACAGCAGAATCCGCCTTCTGTTAACACTCCAGGTGTTTCTTCGACTGCACCTGCAGCGCAACAACAACAATCACAGACAACAGCACAGCAACAAGCGTCAGTACAGCCACCAGTTTCAACGCAATCAATATCGTCAGCGTTCAGTGGAATGAGCCTTGACGGCTCAAGTTATATGCGTGGAGTCACAGCTCCAAGTACTAGTTTGTTCACTTTCTCACCTTCTGTACAGCAGCCGCAGTCGCAGCAGATTCAAGCATCCTTTCTACATTTTCGGCCGTTCCCCTGCTCAGCAACAGCAACAACAGCAGTATCATCAGCAGCCACAGGAATTTCAACAGCAACAGCAACAGCAACGACAGCAACAGCCGGGTATTATTTTTCAGCCTCCAAATTTACTTAACAGCACACAGATAAAAACCACTATACCTTTTAACGGAGTCGACTTCTACTCCTGGAGCTTTGAGTTTGAACTTCTGGCGCAGTCCGCTGGGCTATGGCCGTTCTTCACCGGCGAGTTCACGTATCCTGTCGTGGGAACACAACTGCAGCAGCAGAGTTTCTTGCACGCCTCTCTCGGGGCTTATACAGTTCTTGTTCGGAACTTGTCGCCGAAGGAGCAGCTCGGCGTCCGATCATTTCACTCAAGCTTTACACCAGCCGAAACTGCTTGGAACCATCTGAAGGGGGTATACATGGCAAAGGATACAATAACAGTGAGTAAAATACTTTCGCAGCTGACAAGTGTACAGATGATGACAAACGAAAATGTCATGGACTACGTCAACCGCGTCCGTACACTACGAGATCAACTGGAGAAGAGTGGAGGATACTTCCCTCGTGAGATGTATCTCACGGTACTTCTTGCTGGTCTTGGACCCGAATGGCGACAGACACGCGTCTTTCTGCGAATGAACCCGAACCATTCCGAAGCCGAAATCTCTTCATATCTTCAAGCAGAGCAGCAAGATCTTGACCTGCAGTCACAACGCAATCAGAAGAAACGGGTTCATTTAAGTTTTTACTCCAATCCAGAACCACAGCACTGACATCCTCCAAAATATCCATTCTGCTATTTTTGTAAGAAACCAGGACATACTTACCAAAATTGTCGCAGTCGACATCAAAACCGACGCAGCACTTCACAGCCTTATCATCGCTTGCAGCAGTTACTGAAGCCACCTCAGTCCGCGCAGCAGTCAACGACCCAAATGCAGCAGATGCCAAAAACGCTGCAGAATCCATCTCCGTCACAGCATCGTCCTCCGGTTTTTGCAACTGCAACATCAGGGAAAGGGGTCTTTGGATGCGTCACCACAGTTGATGTTTCAGAAACAGATTTTGAGACACGACTTGAAGAAACCACAAGTGCTGAAGGCATTCCCTTACCTCAAGTTTACGCTAACCTTGCTCGAATAATTTCAGGTCCAAATACTTGGTATCTCGACAGCTGCTGCGGTTGGCACATGTGCTCCGCAGAAACAAGCTTCATCACCAACCAGCGTCCACTTCGTCGTCCGATATGTCACAGTTGCAAACGGACAAACTATTATGGCACAACGTCGTAAAATTTTAGACTGTTTCACTGCTTGGATTGTTGGATATCGCTTCCCGAAGTTCGCGCACTTTCCTGGATGTGATCACGAAGTGCTACTGAAATTTCCACCAAGTCCTAGTTTCATCAGCTAACTGCCATCTTTCCCCATCAGCTAACTGCCATCAGCTAGCAGCAGCAGCAGCAGAAGTAGCAGCAGACGCAGCAGCAGCAGCGGCAGCAGCAGCAGCAGCGGCAGCAGCAGCAGCAGCGGCAGCAGCAGCAGCAGCAGTAGCGGCAGCAGCAGCAGCAGCAGTAGGAGCAGCAGCAGTAGCTACAGCCATCCCCATCCTCCCCTCCTCTTTGAGCCGCCACGGGTCCACCTGCCGCCGCTCCCTCCCGGCCACCGCGGGTCCACCCGCCGTCGCCTTCCTCCCACTCCGTGTCACCAATGGCATCCTTTCCCCCTCCTGTCGACGTTTTGACCCTTGATCAATTGGTGCGCGCTGCCGACAACTCAGCAACCAACTGGTATTCCTTCGTCGGCAGCCTCCACCGCGTCCTCGGCAGTGCTTATGTCCTGCCGTTCCGCCTCCTGGACATCATGCTTGGTCTCCCAGAGGGTGATCTTGGGGACCCGCCGCCTCACCCTGGCGATCCCCCCCCTCTCATTCCCCATCCCGGCGAGGAACATCTGCCCCCCGTGGTACCCGTTGGCACCAGCACTCGCGCTGCCATCGCTGAGGTTGAGCAGCTCTTCGTTACTCAGCGTCGTGAGTTTCTCGTGCTCCATACTGATTACCTGATCACTTTGGAGGAACACGAGCGGTCGGCCACCCTCCACAACCAGCATGCCGCTACCGCCGCCGCTTATGCCGCTGACTCTGCACGATTTGCCGAGCGTCGTCGCGCTTGGCTCGAGGCGGACAATCGTGCTGCTGGTGCCCTTCTCCTTGCCATCCCGCCTGCGCTCATGCGCAACTTCCAGGCACGTCGCATCGGCTCCCGCCAGATCTGGCTCGAGCTTGAGGCGATGTTCGAACGCACCGACTTCGACGCTGTCGGACCGCTCTTCAAGGAATACTTCAGCATCACGATCGAAAATAGTGCTGGCGCCGTTGACTACACCAGCCGTCTCCTGGACCTTGCCTCCCACCTAGAGGCTCGCCAGACTACTCTCCCCTCCAACCTCCAGATCTACCATCTCCTCGAAGGCCTCTCCCCTCAGTATGAGGTGCGCGTCATCGCCTTCACTGAGGCTCAGCCCCGTGCCTCCCTTGACACTGTGGTCCAGTGGATCATTGACGCTGAGGCCCGCCTTCTCTCAACCCCCCCCTCCGGCTTGAACTCCATCGAGTCCCCAAACCCCCAGCTTGCAGTTGCACAGCCGCGTCATGGAGGGCGCCCACGTGGCGGCCGCACCAACCCTCAGGGAGGGGGTGGAGGTGGCGGTTGTGGGGGCAGCGGAGCCAGCGGCGGTGGTGGCGGGGTCGAGGGTGGCAGCAGTGGTGGTGGTGGAGGCAGTAGTGGCTCATCTGGTAGCCGTGGTGGCCGCCCTGGCACTCTCCCCCCATGTTCCTATCTTCGCCGTTTTGGTCCCAGGGCGGGTGAGCGCTGCACCCAAACCAACCATCCCCCCGCAACCTGCTTCAAGGCGTATGATGACGCCTGGTTCGAGCGCGGCAACACTGGCACACCCCCACGCTGGTCTGCCATGGATCCCCGCCCCTCTCTCCAGGATGTCAAAACTCTTCCGTCTTTCCTCCCCTCTCATCTTCAGCTCGCCTCCTCCTCCTCCTCTATCGCTGACCCCATAACTCCCCAGGAGCTGCAGCAGTTTCGCCGCTTCCAGCAGCTGCAGCTGCAGCAGCAGCAACAGTGGGGCTCTGGTGGTCAGGCTGCAGCCACAGCTGCAGGAGCCGCAGCCGCAGCATCTGCATGGCAGCAGCAGCAGCTTGGCTTTGGCACCGCCGCCATGGCTGCCACAGCCACAACAGGTCCTCCTGGCTTTCCTCTCTGGGGCTCTCCTTCCCCTAGAGCTCCCACCTCCCACTCCAGCTTTCTAGATGAGCTCATGCGTTCTTCCCCTGCTTCCACTTCCATGTATCCCTCTGTTTTTAATGCCAGTGATTTCCAGTACCCCATGTCTTCAGCTCCCTCCTCGCTCACGCTAGACTTTGTTCGCGATAGTGGTGCCACTGAAACTGCCCTCAAAGACGCCGGCACCCTCACCTCCCTCCCTTTCCGCACCAACGTTCATGGTGCTGATTCCAGCTTCTCCATCCCTTGCACTCATCTCTCCACCCTCCCCTGCCCCCCCTTCCCCTCTGGAGTGGTCACTGGTCTCCACATTCCCTCCCTTCGTCATAACCTGCTCTCCATCCGTGAACTCCAACAGGCTGGCATCACTACCCTCTTCCCCGCCTCTGCCACCTACTGTGACCTCCTCCACGGCCCCACTCGTCGCCTCCTTCATCGCCTCCCACTTTGCCCTCGCTCTCGTCAGTACATCCTCAGCACACCGTGCCCCTCCTCATGCCACGTGACCACTCGTGCAGGCACCTCCACTCTCCCCCCTCCCCTCCCTCTAAAGCCACCTTCCTCCAACTCCACCTCCCCCCCATGCTCTTGTCGCGCCCTGTCCCACCCCGCTGTTCTCATCCACCATCGCCTTGGTCATATGATTTTTTCCACACTTCGTAAAGCCGTCTCCTCCCGCTTGCTTGACAGTCTTCCCCCCACTCTTCCTCCCCTCCCGTCCTCTTCCGCTCCCCCATGCGCCACATGCATTCATGGAAAGCTCAAACAACAACCTCACCTCAGTCATCCTTCCTTTGCTGCTGCCCCCCTTGACCTCGTCCACATGGACCTCTGGGGCCCTAACCCTTCCCCTTCCCGCCAAGGGCACCGGTACATGCTTGTCCTAGTCGACGACCACAGCAGGTACTCCTCGGTGTTCCTTCTCCACACAAAGGCCGAGGCCCTTGTTGTCATCGTTACCTGGGCCGAGCAGTGCCGTGTCCACTTTGGTCGCCCCATCCGCCGCCTCCATTCCGACGGCGGTGGTGAGTTTCTCAACCGCACCGTCTCCTCCTACTGCTCAACCCATGGCATCCAGCAGACTCATACCCTTCCCCACTCCCCTCAGCAGAACGGTGTTGCTGAGAGTCGCATTCGTGAGATCACCAAGACGGCCCGCTGCCTCCTCACTCATGCCTCCACGCCCCCTTCTCTTTGGGGTTATGCCCTTGTCCATGCTGCTCTCCTCACTAATCTTTACCCACATCCTCAACGCCAGTCCGTCACTCCCACAGAGCTCTGGGCTAGCACCAAGCCAGATGCTGCCATTCTCCGTATCTGGGGTTGCAAGGCATATGTCTTCATCCCCCCACTTGACCGCTCTAGGAAGGCAGGAAAGCTTGCCTCCAGGGCCATTGAGTGTGTCTACCTTGGCCACGCTCGCTCTGCCCCTGGTTACCTCTTCCTTCACCCGTCCTCAGGCCGCCTCCTACAGAGCCGAGACGTGGTGTTCGATGAGAGCATCCCGTTCTATCATTCTGTTCCGCCTTCCGACCCACTTCCTCCTCTCTCCCATTCCCCCACTCCTTCCCCAGGCTCCCCTCCTTCCTCCAAATCCTGCTCCTCCCCCTCCTCCTTCCTCAGGTGACATTTACGACCCAGCTGTCCCTGACTCCCCTGCTCACTCTGCCTCATCGCACCAGCAGCAGCAGCAGCAGCAGCAGCAGCAGCAGCAGCAGCAGCAGGTGCAGCAGCAGGAGCGGATGGAGCAGCAGCGGCAGCAGCAGCAGCAGCAGCAGCAGCAGCAGGAGATGCAGCAGCAGCAGCGGATGGAGCAGCAGCAGCAGCAGCAACCGCAGGCAATGCAGCAACAGCAGCTGCAGCAGGAGGTGCAGCAGCAGCAGCAGCGGCAGCAACCACAGCAGCAACCTCATCGGCATCGCTGCACCACCTCTCCGTTCATCCTCCCACGCATCCACACTCGCTCTCATGGCCCACTCATAGGCCATCCATGGGGTTGGCCAACGCCACCCCCACCTTCCCTTCCCTTCATCGAGGACTCCCATGAGGAGCTCATTGGCGTTCAGCAACAAACACCTTCCCTCACGCCTCTCTATCCAGGCTTCCTTGGGCTCCTCATCCTTGGCATCGCTACCGCTCCCACCATATTCACCCCGTCCAACTTCCTTGAGGCCATCACCTGCCCCGATGCTGCCAAATGGATCCAGGCTATCTTTACTGAATGCGAGGCCTTCATCCGCAATGCCTCATTCATTGAAATTGTCCCCTCTTCTAACGACGTCATTGTTGAAGGCCTGTGGGTGTTCCGAGTGAAGCAGTTGCCGGGTGAGGAGCCGGTCTACAAGGCCCGGTATTGTGCCAAGGACTTCACCCAGACCCATGGCATCGTCTCCTGAGAGACATTCTCTCCCACCGCCAAGCTCCCAACTCTCCGTGCCATCCTCGACTATGCTGTTCGCATTGGCATGGAGATTGCCTCGATGGATGTCTCCAACGCCTTCCTGCAAGGCGAGCTCCAGGAGCGGGTCCTCTTGCGGCGGCCTCCAGGCTTTCATGCAGCCTTCCCTCCCAACACAGTCTGGGAGCTGCGCCGCCCGGTTTATGGCCTCAAGCAGGCTCCTCGCGAGTGGCACAACAAGCTGGCCGCCACTCTGCAGTCCCTGGGGTTCCATGCCTCTCAGTCTGATGCCAGCCTTTTCCTTTGCTCCTCTCCCACCCGCTTCTTCAGCTTCCACACTGTGTTGGCAGGGTAAGTGCCAGGAAACCCCGGTGGGCGTTCCATGTGAAAATCCTCCTTGAGCTGACCTTGAAGAAAGGCGGAGGAGGCGTCCATGGACTTGATCTTGAAGTTGCCGCGAGCGGCTATATCAAGAAGAGTGCGCACAGTCGGGAGCTTGGCCGTGGGCGAGAAGGTTTCGAAGAAGTCGAGATACTCCTTCTGGGTGAAACCCTTCGCCATGTATCGTGCCTTGAACAGTGGAGCTTCGCCTGGGAGTTGTTTGACTCGGAAGATCCATTTTCCGCTGATGATGTTGACACCGGAAGGGGGAACAACATCGTCAAAGCAGTTGTTGCGAATGAACGCCTCGTTCTCCACATCCATTGCTGCCTTCCACTCCTTCTTATAAGGCCCCGAAAGAGCTTCCTCTTTTGTGCGAGGAATCGGAATGGTCTGGTTCTCGGTGAAGTTGAGGGAAGGGCAGTCAGTAATGTCCGGGAAGATGTGAGAGAGAAATTGGCAGACCGCGTGAAGGTCAAACAGCTCCTCATGCCTGTCCTCGAGAAGTGCACGGGGGGGAATACGGATGGAGGGGACATCACCCCCGGCAGGAGGAGGCGGGGTGACCGAACACCGGATGGAGAAGGCGGCTGGTCCCCAGGCGAGAGGCGGAGCCGGTCCCTTGGAATGAGTGCGACTAGAGACCGGAGACGAAGGCGGCTGCGGTGGGACCAGAGGGACTGGTCGCCTCCGGTAGGAGACTGGTGAGCCGGGCTCGACGCGCGAGGAAGGCGGAGCAGGAGGAGGTGCCGCTGCGGAGGATACTGGGGAGGCCGGGTGAGACACGCCGGACGGAGAAGGCCCCGAGAAGGGGCAGCGGCCGGAGGTGGGGCATCGAATTCTGCCCACACAAGCGTCGGGGGAGGTGGAGGAGGCTCGCCCGTGGTCGCAGAGTGGAATGGGCGTGTCTGATCGAAGACGACATCACGGCTGCGAATCAGCTGTTTGGTGATTAAGTTGAAGAATAAGTAGTCTGGGGAGTCGGAGTTGTGCCCCAGGTACATGCAGGTCTGGGTTTTGGGACCAAGCTTGCCACCTTGCTTCCTGCGCGTATGGGGGCTTAGCAATACATACGCGGTACACCCCCAGACGCGTAGAGAGCGGGCGGAAGGCGTGACCCCAAGCCAGAGAGCGGTAGGTGTGGTGTCGGGCCGGTGGGGATGCGGATAAAGATTGTAGAGGAGTGCCGCATGGAAGAGGGCATATCCCCAGAGTGACCGTGGTGCGTTGGCGTGACTGAGGAGGCAGCGAGCGATCTGAACCAAGGTGTGGTTGCGGCTCTCTGCAATGCCGTTCTGCTGTGGGCTTTCGGGGAGCGTGAAGGTTTGCCGAATCCCTTAGGCCGCACAGAAGTCATCGAGTTTGCCATTGCAAAATTCTTCCCCGCCATCAGAATGGAGGCACTTCAGAGGAGTGCCGAACGTGACTTGAGCCTGGCGCACCCCCGCCATGATGACATCAGGTGCCTCCGCCTTGGTATGCAGGAGGTGCACAGAAACATACCGCGAGTGGTCATCGACTAGTGTAAGAAAGTACCGATGACCGCCTCGGGATGCGACTGGAGCTGGGCCCCAGACATCCATTTGCACTAGGTCCAGCGGAGCAGCTGCGACGGATGGGGAGGAAGGGTGCGGCTGCTGCCTGAGCTTGCTCTTGGTGCAGTCCAGGCAGGTGGGTGCAGGTGAGTCTATTGGTGGAGGAAGCGCCGACAGGAGGCCAAGAAGAAGTTTCTTGGAAGTGATGTCGGCAAGTGTACGGAAGTTGGGGTGGCCCAAGCGATGGTGGTAGAGGATGGTTGCGTTGGCGAAGCTGCGACACGAACATGGAGTGGTGCTGGCAGCTTGCGCTTCGGAGAGAGCGGCGAGAGGTGCAGGTGAACGCAGCGTGTAGAGCTTGCTACTGTTGAGTGTGAAGCGTGCTAGGAGCTTGTTGGACTTAGGTTCGAAGAGGTCACAGTGATCGGAGTGTGCTGGGAAGATCGTAGTGACGCCTGCCCCTTGGAGCTCGTGTTGGGCCACGAGATTGTGGCGTAGTGTGGGAACACACATGGGGACACAGGGACACGGGGGGAAGCGGTTGTGCTGGAATGGCACCGAAGTGGCATAGGCTTGAGGCACGGGAGCGCGGATTGCATTGGCCTTGGCTTGAGCGCTGTTGTCCTTTTTGGCAGAAAGGAGCGCGGATGAGACCTTGGCAAATGTGAGGTCTGCAGGAGCAAGGCCCAAGAGCATCTTCCGTGTGACTTTGTATGCCGGAGTGAGGCCGACTAGGAGAGCGGCTGCAGGGGCTTGCTCGGGGAAGACTATCCCCAACTGTTTGAGTTCACCATGAATGGACTGCACCTTGGTGACATAGTCCGTCATGCCTGGCGAGTCCTCGAGCCGCACTTGGAACATGCAGGGGATGAGTATAGCAACTCCCACTGCAGTCTTGTTCAGGAAGCGATCTTCGAGGTAGAGCCAAATGGCGTTGGCAGACGGGTAGTTGTGGTAGGTTTCGACAAGTTCGGGAGGAGTGGTGCCCATGAAGACACTAATGACCGCACCATCGGCCTTCTCCCAATTCTTGTACTTGAGAAGTGCAGCAGTATAAACTGGTTGAGTAAGCCATTGTTGGTGGGAGGCTCTTTGCCGTCACCGATGTTGAGAAGGACGTCGGTGAGCTCGAGCCTTTTCACCTCGCGACTGAGGAGGTGCTTGTCGACACCATAGCGCCAAGCCTTGTAGTTGGAGCATGTGCCGTCCGGCTCGAGACGAAGGAGCGGGATCGGGTTGGCGAGTGAAGTGGTTGAGTAAGCCATTGTCGGTGTGCAGCGCGGCACTTCTTGAAATTGGTCGACGAGAATTGCTGAAAATCACTCTGACGGCTTTATCAAAATGCCGCTAAGTAGGAAATGGCGTCGGCGAAAATTTGTTAAAACGCCGACTTGAGACTGAATCTGAGCCTATGTCTAACCTCGGACCCACACACCCCCCCACACACCCCCAGGCCCTGTCCCGCAGCTACACAGCTCCGCAACCAGCTCCGCTCCGCTTCAACCTGTGTACCTGCTCTTGCTTGACGCGAGACGTTCGTGGAGGCGATTTCGCGAGGGGAGTTCGCCTATTCTGGCGGGCTCTGAGGGGAAACTCGAGAACGAGTTTTAAGAGATGGTCGAAATTGAGATTCGACCAAGGAGAACCGAGGAGGAAATCGACGATGAGAAGCGTGAACGCTTCAGCGATGAGAAATTCAACGAGGTCGAGCGCGAAGGCGGTCTACGATGAGAGGCGCGACTGCAGAGTGGAGCACGTTGAATTTCCGACGACTTGAAACGAATGTCGCGATAATGAAATGCGCGTAGCGCGGGCACGTTAAGATTAGGAGCTTGATCCGCATGTGCGGATTGGTCGCTCTGATACCATGTAAGAAATAGAGTTGAAATGATTGATTAGGTAAGGAGCCCTAGGCTCTATAAGTACATGGCAAGGTAAAGGAGAATGGATGAAGGGGGAATTGGAGGGAATCCCCATTGGGATTTCCGGAATCTCCAATTGGGTAATTGGAGTTGGGGGGATCACAATTGGGTGAGGTTGGGATTTGTGAGTACACCCCAATCCACTAGAACATTCATAACCTAAACTAGGATATAAAAGTACAAATACAAAAGTTGTATTTGCAGTCTATTTCTAAGAATTCCACCTCCCACTCTCTCATTCCGCCTTATCCTCCCTCGTGCCGCCTTTGTCTATCTCACTCGGCCTTCTCCCCTCTGATTCGGACTTCTCGCCACTCATTTCTTTTCCCCTTGTCTTGGCTCCCCCTCTCTCATTCCAATTTCCCCTCCCTCTCATCCGGACCTCCCCTCCCTCTCTTTCCCATTTCCCCTCCCTCTCATTCGGACCTCCCCTCCCTCTCATTCCGATTTCCCCTTCCTCTCATTCCGACTTCCCCTCATTCATTCCGATTTCCCCTCCCTCTCAGTAGAACTTCCCCTCCCTCTCATTCCGAGTTCCCCTCATTTCAATCTGATTTCCACTCTCCGATTCCACCTCCCCCCTCTCAATCCACCTCCCCCCACTATTTCCGCATTCCTCCTCTATATCCGCACTCCCCCGTGCGGATTCCACATTTCTCTCCTCATTCCCCTATTTCCCCTCCAGTGCCGCATTTCCCCGCTCTTCCCACATTTCTCCTCTTGTGCCGCATTTCGCCGCACCTTACTCGCATTTTCCCTATCATTTCGCATTTCCCTTCTCGTTCTGCATTTACCATCTCACTCCGCATTTCACAAGCTATGCCGCCGTCACTACCAAAGTAGAGGCCTGCAGAAATGGTTGCCACTCGCACCGCCCTGTTTCTGTACGAGCTACAGTGGTGGCCTCGCTGGCAATCTGGCTTGTGGTTTTCACATCCCAAAAATTTGGGTGGCAAAATGATACCCCCAAGACTGCCGCAAGTAACCTAAGGGCCTCGCCCAGGGGGGTAACCCTGGGGCTTCCGACTGGGTGACCTCGGGGAAATCGACTGTCCAAATGCCTTTCGTTGTGACCCGTGGGAAACCCACGATGTCACACCTTTCCGAAACCTTTGGGTTACCCTCAAGTGACATCAGGGCTAGGTGGGGGGAACGTGAGGGCATCATTTTTCCGAGGCGCGTCCTTAATACATGCCACTCGATACGCGTACAGTAACTTATAAAACACCTGAAAAGTAATAATATGCTCTCATACATAAATTATATTGGTTAATCCCATTCGCGTTCTTCTCCAATGCTCATTCGCCAATAGCAAAACCGACAGAGTTTACAGGTTTACAGCCAACAAATATTGATAATACATACACAATTTTAGTCAACAGATTTACAGCATTTCAGTGTTCAATTTTCCTACCTGTTATTGATAATACATACACCTCAAATATTTCAGACTGGAACGAATGGTTCGTAACTCCGTAGAGGTGACACTCACCAATCTGAGTACACATAACCTGCACATTAAGGATGGAAACAGAAAGCAACAAGCAAAACTGCTCAAAAGGAAAAAAGATAGGGAGTAAAAAGAAACAGAACCAGAGTAACGATTCTTACAGTTTGGCAGCCAGAGCCCGGTCCAGAGAAACGCTTCACAAAAAGAGTGTTGGCGGGACACAACCCGAACCCCTCTGTACAGCTACGGCAGGATAAGAGACATCACAAGATGGCACAGCTGCTGTGATGAAACAAGACGAAAAAACAGGCATACATAGGTATGCAGTGGTACCCTTCAACGTAAATGGCAGTGAGCCACTGTCGGAAACACGACTAGTATCAGCCAAATTAATCACCTGAACATCAAAGGAAAACAGCACAGGTCCAAATTTGTGGAACAACTTATGCCTTCGTCCTGGAAAAATGAAAAGCGGGAAGACACAGTTTGAAGTGACAAAACGCCGTAACCCGAATGCCAACGTCCAACCAAATACCAGGCAAGAATGGGAGTTGCGAACGAGACAAAACCATAAATGGGGAATCTAACATTTGCACCAGACTCGGGTACGGGTGTATGCGCAGCGTTGTACCTTGGGTATTTGCACAGGTACGACATCGATGAGGTGACCGTCCGAGGGCCGCGGGCTTGGGTACCTGAGATAAACATAGAAGGGGGTATAGCGTTCATTCAAGAATTGCGGCTAACTGGCATGTGTTGAAAGGAATTGAAAAGCAGGGATGCTAACACACAGTGACGCACTTCACTCTAACTATTTCACACTAGCTATGAAAGGTACATCTCAAAGGAAGAAGTGGAACCTGGCGTGCGAAACAATGAAAGATCGGGTTTAGGGTTGAGTTCAGTTTATGTCCAGTGCTAGCAGCCACAACGGAGAGCTTGGGTTTGGGGTCGTATTCCGTGATTCGAGTTTGTGAGTTCGTTGTGTTGTGCTGTCCGTTGAACATCGTGTTTCTGTGGGTATATTGAGCCGACATTGCCTTGCAATATTCTCCCAATGCCTTCTGATTTCGACTTTCAGATTAAACATTCTTATGTGAAACCGTCCTGAAGAACACGCCCCACCTTTTCGTTCCTTCCTTACCCAGTCAGGTGGTTTCGCTTGAGTTTTCAACACACGAATCGGTGAAAAACGCTGGTGTGCTCTCATTGGTCAGCCTTTCGAAGACCTTACCCAGCAATATCGTACGCATAAAAGCGGCCCCGTCTAGAGTCATACAAGCTCTTTGATTTACGTCAAACTAGTTTTTCACTTCGCTCTACAAACATGAATGCAATTGGCGGCCAAACCAGCACGGATCCAGGCCTGGCTTTGCATCTTGCTATTGGTCAGCACGAACTGATGGTTTGGGCCGAACCATCGAGTCCAAAACCATCTTGGTAAGCAGCTCCTGATTGGTTGTCAAGTTTTTTAGCGAGAGGTTGCGAATTGTTTTGCCGAGGTAACAGTTTCGCCTTGCGCACATGTTTCTCCAGGCACACTTGTGGGGATCAATGGGGCAACTTGACGTAGGACACCTGTGGGTATCCCTCCTCCCCAAGGCCATTTTGCCTTTGCCGAATTTTGGGAAGCAGTACGCCAACTATGGTTTCCCCTAGTATCTCAGACAGTATGAGTCTCGATGCCTTGGTATTTTCGGAGGAGTGGCGATGGGGAGAGGTGTGGACGAGTTTCAGTTCTGCCGACAAATTCGACCCAGTTTAGCAACTCTGGAAGGCAGAGTGGTTTCGGACGGTGCAAGTGGTTTGTGATTGCGTTCCCCTCCCACTGCTCGTTAAGTGCACGTGCTGAGAACTTCCAGGGTTAGCTAGTGACAGCGTGCTGGCGATTTCCGTGTCTTCGCGACCCTGAGTTTGCTTTCGTAAATTGTTTTCGCAAGCCTGGGGGATTTGCCAACTTCCCAAACCTCGTCCCTACCTTTTGCCAAGCCTCAACCAGCGTTGACCTGACTCGTTTTTCTAATCTGGGGACCTAGGCTTTAAGGGTGATTGTGGGCTTCGAGTCTGGAATTCAGGTTTCGGAACATTTCCGGGTGGCGAACGCGGGGATCTGAATAATTTAGACGTTAACATTTCCACCACACCAATGCCCGTGTCAAATCTGAAGCCCCGTGCCCCCAGAGAGCGAATCCTGAGGGGCACAATGGTCCATACATGGGTTCCCTCGATCAGGGAACCCTCCGGTACAGTACAAAGTCCAGGTCCCATTCGACACACCCAAATTCCGCTATGCGTCTTTTAGTGGATTGAGGAATGAATTCGCCTTTCGACACCCTCACTTAGCGAATAGTTGCGTTTCTCGTCGTTGCACCACTCAAATGTGACCTTGTACCGCATACTCAGCCGCATCATACGGCTCACACACCCAACGTGTTTCGAGGCCCACACAAAAATCAGTCGTCAATCCAACTAGTTGGGACATTGCATTACTCAAAACGCAGTGCTTTTGAAGTCGAGGTTCAACACAAAACAAGCCGCCATCATACCACGATAAAACGCATGAAACCGCGTGTTTATTCTCTACACCGCTTGACACCCATTTTCACTTTCAAGCGTGAGTCTCGGGAACCCTTGATTTCTTCACAGCGCACCTCGCGCGCTGAAAGCCCAGCCACATCTGCTCCAACGAATGCTCTTCGCTAGAGCATAAAGCAGAGCCCTGTTCTGCTCGTTACATCAGACAAGCACGTCAACACATATTGTCGAGAAACACCTGACCTTTCTACTTCTCTCTTCCGCTGAGTAATCCTCTCAAAGACTTCGAGCTTCTCTCCCTCTTCACTCGTTCCCTCGAGATCGTATTTCCCTCATTTTCCAAGCGCGAGGCATGGCGTCATGGTGGAACCAGCTGACAATTCTCGGCATTTGCGCGCTAGTCACGGTGCTCGTCGCGCCGGCAGCGGCGAAGCGGCCCAGCAAGGAAGAGGTGATCGCCGAGGTCAAGAGAGCGCGCGACGCACTCTAGAACCCCGAGATCTCCGACAAATACCGGATAACCACCACTTTCCTCAACCACTTCATCCCAAAATTGGGTAAGTTTGCATGAAAGATCTCTGTAAAAAGATGACTTTTGAGTCGACTCAAAAGGCATGTCGTTACAATGTCACACGGAACTTTCGCTTCAAGAAGAACCATTCTCGCTAGGAGGCTGCCGGAGAGAGTTGGGAATTTTTTAATTTTCTCTCATAAATGTTAAAACTACTGTAGCTTTTTACTCTTCGTTCTATCTTTATTTTCCTTTGCCTTGTCGCGACCCTGCAGAGGAATGCCTCGCGAGGAGTCCTCGAGCTTGGTATTTATAGGTTAGCTGGCTTGCTTTTTTCTTTGTGGTCTGAAGAAGGCTCTCGAGCCGAAACTGGTTACCATCAATTTTCACAAAAGAGATTTCAAGCAAGCTCTCTACTAACTTTTTACTTAAAGCCGTTGACCCAAATTGCAGAAAATTTATTTCAAGTTTATTAATCTTGAAACCTCCCGATTGGTAACCCAGTTCCTCGGAGCGAGAGCAAAAACGAAAGTTGCGCAACAAAACGACGCAAAACAGTCTGTAATCTTGCGCCACCCCGAGCTGATTATGTCCCTGCCCCCGCCACACCAGGCGTTTGAGCGGTAAGAAACTTGAACTTCATCCCATACATTTTGGGACTTTTTGAAGTTCGATCTGCTTGGTGCGAGAGTGGAACACAGGATCCTTGGTGAAATGAATGGCACTCTGGTTGTCACACCACAGGGTGGGCGACTGCTGGGGGTAGCCTAACTCAGCGAGGAGAAAGGAGAGCCAGCGTGCCTCTTGAGCAGCCATTGTGCCCGCGTAGAGCTCGGCCTCGCAGGACGACAGGGAGACTACAGAGGACCGAGTGGAGCGCCAGCTGATGACTCCGCTACCAAGGGTGAAGCAGTACCCTTGGGAGGAGCGTCTGTCAGTCTGGTCATCGGCCCATGAGGAGTCTGTGTATCCCTCGAGCTTGACTGGAGAGGTACCACCAAGAGTGAGGATGTGAGACTTGGTGGCTTGTAGATAGCGGAGGACCCTTTTCGCTGCAGACCAATGCGAGGCAGTGTAGCGTCCGGGGGAGACGTACCGAGAGAGGACACTAACCGGGTATGCCAAGTCTGGTCGAGTGCACATCATGGCATACATGAGTGAACCGACTAGCTCAGGGTACGGGTCCTTGCAGGCGTCAGGAGAAGGAACTGGAGGGGCCGTAAGCTGATGCTGTAGTGAGAGTGGAGTGGAGACAGAGTTACTGGAGTCCATGTCGAACCGCTTGAGAAGGTTGTCGATGTAGGACTCCTGGGAGAGGGTGATCGTGCAAGCCTGGCGGTCACGAGTGATCTCCATCCCCAGGTAGTTCTTGAGGTCACCAAGATCCTTCATGAGAAGGGCGGAGCTGAGAGCAGACTGGACAGCTGCCATGTCGGCTGGATCTCTGGTGGCTAGAATGAAGTCGTCGACGTAGACGAGGATGTAGAAGGGCTCGGAGGAGTGACGAACGAAGAGACTGGAATCTGAGGCAGAGGGATGGAAGTCAAGTGCGAGAAGGACTTCCTTCACCTTGTTGTGCCACTCACGAGGAGCCTGCTTGAGGCCATACACTGGGCGCTTCAGCTTCCACACTGTGTTGGCAGGGTAAGTGCCAGGAAACCCCGGTGGGCATTCCATGTGAACATCCTCCTTGAGCTGGCCTTGGAGAAAGGCAGAGGAGGCGTCCATGGACTTGATCTCGAAGTTGCCGCGAGCGGCTATATCAAGAAGAGTGCGCACAGTCGGGAGCTTGGCCGTGGGCGAGAATGTTTCGAAGAAGTCGAGATACTCCTTCTGGGTGAAACCCTTCGCCACGTATCGTGCCTTGAACAGTGGAGCTTTGCCTGGGAGTTGTTTGACTCGGAAGATCCATTTTCCGCCGACGATGTTGACACTGGAAGGGGGAACAACATCGTCAAAGCTGTTGTTGCGAATGAACGCCTCGTTCTCCACATCCATTGCTGCCTTCCACTCCTTCTTATAAGGCCCCGAGAGAGCTTCCTCTTTTGTGCAAGGAGTCGGCATGGTCGGGTTCTCGGTGAAGTTTGAGGGAAGGGCAGTCAGTAATGTCTGTTGGTTAGAGAAGGCTATAAGCAGATGATTCAATGGCTCCTTGGAAATTTCTGCAGCACTTCGTTATGACGCCTAGAAAACTCGCGACCTTCGAAAAGCTATATCCAAAACTCCAATCGATGAAACGATCTGAAAATCGGATATGTTGTAGCTTGCAGCGTCAGCTTTCTACTGAAAGTTGAATCACTCGATTCCGTAGCTTAACGAGTGAGCTATGGCGTTTGGCGCACTGGGGGGTAATCTGCCCTAGGAGAAATTGACAGTCCTCAGAGTCACTATAATTGAAGCTTACAAGTTCAGAGGCATGATGGAAAAGACATTGAAGCACAGTTGGAAGGTGGGGTAGGAAGAGAAGGATAAAAGGGAAGGACCCTGGAGGCCCTTGCCCAAGAACATGACAAGAGTCAAAGTCTTGACTCCCCATCCTCAGGTTCAACCAGCCTGGCAAGACAAAATTCACACTGTGCCAGGTTGGCCTCCAAACCCCAAATGCTGCAGCTGCAAGGTGAGGACAAAAGTCCCACACATGCTGGTCCCTCCTCGTTATAGGGCTCTCCAACTTTGGTGTAGCAGCTGCCAAGGACTTCCAATGAGTTGTAACAAATCCATCAAACATTTCTTCGTAACTTCTTCATATGTGCTCCGATTCCAACAATTCTTGGCTCGTTGGAATGCGATCGATCTGATGTACAATCCAAGCACATCTGCCCAAGCACAAGATGAACATGCAAAGACATGCAAACCCAACAAACCATACAAACGACGTAGCACACAAAACACATGCAACGAAATGATGCGAACAGACGACAGGATGACGTGCAAACGAATATGCACCAACACACTCCCCCTCAGACTGTCGGCTTGTTTTGCCGTCTCTAGTTCAAGGACATTCCCGCCATCCTCGCACAGCGCCAGTGTGGCTCTTCAGCTAGCCGCTTGGTAAGGAAGTCGGCTGGCTGTTGCTGAGTTTTCACGTAGATCGGATCCAGTGTCCCAAGCTTCACCTCCTTCCGCAGCCAATGCCACTTGATCCTCATGTGCTTGTTCAACCCATGAAGAACTGCATTGCGTGCCATGGCAATGGCTCCCTTGCTGTCACTGAACAGAGGTGTCGCGCAAGTCTGTTCATGGTCGATCTCCTTCAAGAGCCTCCTTAGCCAAATGATTTCTTTTGCCGCATGAAACATCGCCATGTACTCAGATTCCACTGAAGAAAGTGCCGTCTCAGACTGCTTCTTGGACCTCCAACTTACAGGCCCACCTCCCACCATGCAGATGTATCCACCAACTGATGATGAATCCTCATGCTCAGAAGCCCATGTGGCATCAGCAAAACAGGAAAGGAACACCTTTCCTTCTCCGAGCTGCTCCCCCTTCTCTTTGAGGACTTCAACTCCTTTTAGACTGATTTTGCACTACTCGAGCCAGCTGTCCCACAGCAAAGCTGATGTCAGGCCGAGTATGCACAGCAGCGTAGAGTAGGCTCCCGACCATGGATTGGAATTGCCTCTGGTCTTCACTCTCAACTCCTTCTCCTTCAGCTGCCTTTATGAGTTTGAACTCGGAAGGCAAAGGTGTGACCACTTCCCGTTCTTCCTGCAGAGAGTACTTCTCAGCCAAGGTATTGATGTACTGTCCCTGATGCAGTTTGAGCCAGCCACGTTCAGTATCCCGCTCAATGTGCATTCCCAGGTAGTATCTTGCCTCTCCAAGTGACTTGCACTTGAACTGCTCTGTGAGCTTCCGCTGCACCCCATCGATCTCCTTGTCACTGCTGCTGAAGAGCAGGATGTCATCCACGTACACCAGCAGAAGCACAAGTGACTCCCCCTCGCCCATCAGGAATAGGCTCTTGTCGCATGCACTCGCACGGAATCCAATCCCTTCCAGTGCACTGGCCAGCCTGTTGTACCAGCATCTCGGGGCCTGCTTCAAGCCATAGATGGCCTTGTTAAGTTTGCAGACACGACTGGTTCTATCCTCATAGCCAGGTGGTTGAACCATGTACACCTCCTCTTCCACAATGCCGTACAGAAAAGCGGTTACGATGTCCATCTGCTTCACCTTCCATTTGCGCACAGCAGCTACCGTCAGCAGCACACGTAGCGTTGGAGACTTAGCAGTTGGGGCAAACACTTCTTTGTAATCTTCCTTCTCTTTCTGCTGAAACCCCTTTGCCACCAGCCTGCTCTTGTAAACTGATGGCTCTCCTTTCTCATCCGTCTTGATTTTTGCCAGCCACTTGCACTGTATTGCCTTCTTCCCATTTGGCAAGTACACCAGGTCCCATGTGTGATTCTCCATCTGGCTGTTGTACTCTGCATCTCTTGAAACGAGCCACTTCCCCCGTTGAGGCCCGGCTAGCGCATGATCCATGCTCGGAGGTTGTATTGGTGCGTAAAAGCAGTATGCAGGCTCCTCGTCATCTGACTCTTGGTCATCACCCAAGAACAGCACTGCATCTTCGCCTTGAGCCTGTTCCTGGTGCTCAGTTGTGGCTCCTCCACTTCTAGAGCTCAGCAGCTTTCTCGTTGCCATTCTGGTACGTGCAGGGTAGATGGTTGGATTTACCCATTCTTTCACCTTCACCCAATCCTTTGTCCCCCCACCAATCTGTTTCCTTCGCTTTGGCAGACTTGGTGTTTTGGAAGCCTCTTGCTGCTGCTGCTCCGGATCCTTGACTTCAGCATCAGCTGCAATATCCTCATTGCTTCCTTCATCAGTACCGCTTGCCGTTGGCGCAGTGACTTCGCTGTCCTCAGGTTCGGACAAATCGAAGTGCATAGTGATCTCTTCCAGCTGCTGGGTGACCCTTGCCTCCGGCTGCTTCTCCCACTTGCCATACATGATGTTCTCCACAAATTTGACATCCCAACTGTCAAACAGCACATTCTTTGAGGTCTCCCAGAGTAGCCACCCCTTGCTCTCTGCCGCAAGCCCAAGGTGCACACACCACAGTGCAGATGCTCCAAGCTTTGTCCTGTGCGGTTTAGGGACATGCGCCACTGCCATGCATCCGAACACTCTGAGCATGTCCACTGGAGGCTCCTTTCCAAGCCACCTCTCCAGCGGCACCCACATATCATCAGCCACCTTTGTGAGTACGCGGTTCCTTGCCACTGTAGCATGCCTCACCGCATGAGGCCACATGGAGTTCCCCAGCCCTGATTCGATCAGCAGCGCTCGCGCAGTTTCCAGGATGGTCCTATTAGCCCTCTCAGCAACGCCATTTGACTGAGGGGTATAGGACGTCGTTAGCTGATGCTCAATGCCTTGTTTCTTGAGCCACGCAGTCAGATCTCCTCCTAGAAACTCTCCACCTCGGTCGGTTCTGATGCTCTTGCATGGGTGCCCAGATTGTCGCTCGACGAACGGCAGCCAGTCATCTTGTATTGTTGAGGCAGCATGATCCTTCTGCTTCAACGGGTATGCCCACATCAGCCGACTCCAGTCATCAACTATTGTCAGGAAGTACCTTTCCCCCTTACTTCCTCGAACTGGAAAAGGTCCTACCAGGTCCATGTGCACCAGTTCCAGTGCTGCCTTGCTTTTCCCAGCTACACCGTGAAAGGGGAACCGTGTGAACTTGCTCAGCAGACGCGTCTCGCACTTGGTATCATTTGGTTGCCCAGACAGCTTCAGCCCCTTTACTGCTCCTTCCTTATGCAGTTGCTGCAGCAATGGCATAGCCACATGCCCCAGACGCCTGTGTGCGGTTTCCCAATCAGTCTCCCCCGACCTTGCAGAAACCGTCACTCCTGCAGCACTAACTGCCTTGCACTCCCCCTGGACTCCAGATCCCGCCTTTACTATTCCCAACTCCTTCTTTGTTGATTCCCATATCAGTGCAGGGATCTGCCACATGGATCTGAAGACATCTCTGCTTTCGTGTAAATCCCATAACACACGATCTCCTCGCAGCCCCTTGAATGTTTTGGATCCGTTGGTGGTGGTGCTGACTCCGGCCTGGCCCCTTCAGCCCTGGTACAAGTAACACGTCCTACAGCACAACCAGTCCACCATCAGGTGCTCTGAATGCAGCTCGACCAACTCCAGCGACCTTCACTGCATGTCCGGATGCTGAGCGCACTTCAGAGATTGGAGGCACTCGCACAGCATCCAGCAAGTCCTTGCATGGTGTCATTGTTCCTGCAGCACCAGAGTCCATGACCCACATGTCAAGCGGGTGCAATTCCTCTCCAGCCCTTGCAACAGCTGTGCCACTGTCATCTTTGTCACACACATGGTAGAACTGTCCAGCATTCCTCTCCTCATTTCCCATTCCTCTGTCATTCTTAGAGGTTTCTTCAGCAGGATCAGCTACCATGTTGGCACCTCCATGTGGTTGCTTTCCTCCATTCCCCTTTTGCGATTGGTTCCAAGGGGTCCACCAGTCGGGCTTGGTAGAGCAGCGAAACCATGGATGCCCTTCTTCCTTGCAATACCAGCACTCTCCCCTCAAGCGTGGTTCACTGTTGTCATTGTTGGAGTGACCACCTCTTCCTCTTGCACCAGCGCCACCACGCCCCCGCTGGTTCCAAGTCCCGCGGCCACCTTGGCTGTAGTGAGAGCGACCGCGATTGCCACGCCCTCGATCCCTCCATGTCCCTTGCATGGCATAGCCGCTGGTGCTGTCATCACCTCCGCGCAGTGTATAGCGACGAAAATCTTCTTCCAGAATCTTGGTGCGAATCCACTCCAATGTCCATTGACTTTGGTTTTGTGGCAAGCTGAGTCCGCTTATAAATTGCAGCCAAGACTCGGGCAGCAGGCTGAGCATCTTGAGACACTTAGTCTGCTCAGCGTACGTGATGCCTGCAATCGCCAATTTCGCGTAGAGTTCCCTCATCTTGTCCAGAACGGGCTGCACAGGTTCATTCTCGCTCAACCTCAGCATGGACAGCTCCCGATCCAGCATGAGAGAAGCGGCAACCGATGTCGGACCATGCAGGTCCTTGAGCACTGCCCATGCCTTGGGCCCACAATCAGTTTCCGGTAGCAGATGCATGATGTGATGCCTCTGGTTCAGCTCCAAGCTTTGTGACAGTAGATAATACCCAGCAGATGAACGTTCATCCAAACCGCTTGCTCTGCCATTTCCTTTGGCCTTGGCTCCGTTCCAATCATGAGCTTCAAGAGGCCAATTTGTCGAAAGTAGAGCTGCATCTTCCATGCCCAATCATCATAGCCATCTCCAGAGAACTTCTCAATGGTGAAGTTCTTCAGCACCTCCTTAAGCAGTGACCCCTGGCTTGTACGCGCTCCCCTTTGTTCTGCAATGCCAGAATCTTGGGTTGAGCTGCCTCCTTGGACTGAAGTATCACCTCCACCAGAGTCCTCCTTATCTCCCATCGTATATTAGGTCCCAAATGCGTGATAATGGGCTCTGATACCACTTGTTGGTTAGAGAAGGCTATAAGCAGATGACTCAATGGCTCCTTGGAATTTTCTGCAGCACTTCGTTATGACGCCCAGAAAACTCGCGACCTTCGAAAAGCTATATCCAAAACTCCAATCGATGAAACGATCTGAAAATCGGATATGTTGTAGCTTGCAGCGTCAGCTTTCCACTGAAATTTTAATCACTTGATTCCGTAGCTTAACAAGTGAGCTATGGCGTTTGGCGCACTGGGGGGTAATCTGCCCTAGGAGAACTTGACAGTCCTCAGAGTCACTATAATTGAAGCTTACAAGTTCAGAGGCATGATGGAAAAGGCATTGAAGCATAGTTGGAAGGTGGGGTGGGAAGGGAAGGATGAAAGGGAAGGACCCTGGAGGCCCTTGGTCAAGAACATGACAAGAGTCAAAGTCTTGACTCCCCATCCTCAGGTTCAGCCAGCCTGGCAAGACAAAATTCACACTGTGCCAGGTTGGTCTCCAAACCCCAAGTGCTGCAGCTGCAAGGTGGGGACAAAAGCCCCACACATGCTGGTCCCTCCTCGTTATAGGGCTCTCCAACTTTGGTGTAGCAGCTGCCAAGGACTTCCAATGAGTTGTAACAAATCCATCAAACATTTCTTCGTAACTTCTTCATATGTGCTCCGATTCCAACAATTCTTGGCTCGTTGGAATGCGCTCGATCTGATGTAAAATCCAAGCACATCTGCACAAGCACAAGATGAACATGCAAAGACATGCAAACCCAACAAACCATACAAACGACGTAGCACACAAAACACATGCAACGAAATGATGCGAACAGACGACAGGATGACGTGCAAACGAATATGCACCAACAATGTCCGGGAAGATGTGAGAGAGAAATTGGCAGACCGCGTGAAGGTCAAACAGCTCCTCATGCCTGTCCTCCAGAAGTGCACGGGGGGGAATACGGATGGAGGGGACATCACCCCCGGCAGGAGGAGGCGGGGTGACCAAACACCGGATGGAGAAGGCGGCTGGTCCCCAGGCGAGAGGCGGAGCCGGTCCCTTGGAACGAGTGCGACTAGAGACCGGAGACGAAGGCGGCTGCGGTGGGACCGGAGGGACTGGGCGCCTCCGATAGGAGACTAGTGAGCCGGGCTCGACGCGCGGGGAAGGCGGAGCAGAAGGAGGTGCCGCTGCTGAGGATACTGGGGAGGCCTGGTTAGACACGCCTGACGGAGAAGGTCCTGGAGAAGGGGCAGCGGCCGGGGGTGGGGCATCGAAGTCTGCCCAAACAAGCGTCGGGGGAGGTGGAGGAGGCTCGCCCGTGGTCGCAGAGTGGAATGGGCGTGTCTCATCGAAGACGACATCACGGCTGCGAATCAGCTGTCTGGTGATTGGGTTGAGGAATAAGTAGTCTGGGGAGTCGGAGTTGTGCCCTAGGTACATGCAGGTCTGGGTTTTGGGACCAAGCTTGCCACCTTGCTTCCTGCGTGTGTGGGGGCTTAGCAACACATACGCGGTACACCCCCAGACGCGTAGAGAGCGGGCGGAAGGCGTGACCCCAAGCCAGAGAGCGGTAGGTATGGTGTCGGGCCGGTTGGGATGCGGATAAAGATTGTAGAGGAGTGCCGCATGGAAGAGGGCATATCCCCAGAGAAACCGTAGTGCGTTGGCGTGACTGAGGAGGCAGCGAGCGATCTGAACCAAGGTGTGGTTGCGGCTCTCTGCAATGCCGTTCTGCTACGGGCTTTCGGGGAGCGTGAAGGTTTGTCGAATCCCTTGGGCCGCACAGAAGTTATCGAGTTTGCCATTGCAAAATTCTCCCCCGCCATCAGAATGGAGGCACTTCAGAGGAGTGCCGAACGTGACTTGAGCCTGGCGCACCCACGCCATGATGACATCAGGTGCCTCTGCCTTGGTATGCAGGAGGTGCACAGAAACATACCGCGAGTGGTCATCGACTAGTGTAAGAAAGTACCGATGACCGCCTCGGGATGCGACTGGAGCTGGGCCCCAGACATCCATGTGCACTAGGTCCAGCGGAGCAGCTGCGACGGATGGGGAGGAAGGGTGCGGCTGCTGCCTGAGCTTGCTCTTGGTGTAGTCCAGGCAGGTGGGTGCAGGCGAGTCTGTTGGTGGAGGAAGCGCCAACGGGAGGCCAAGAAGAAGTCCCTTGGAAGAGATGTCGGCAAGTGTACAGAAGTTGGGGTGACCCAAGCGATGGTGGTAGAGGATGGTTGGGTTGGCGAAGCTGCGACACGAACACGGAGTGGTGCTGGCAGCTTGCGCTTGGGAGAGGGCGGCGAGAGGTGCAGGTGAACGCAGCGTGTATAGCTTGTTGCTGTTGAGTGTGAAGCGTGCTAGGAGCTTGTTGGGCTTAGGGTCGAGGAGGTCACAGTGATCCGAGTGTCCTGGGAAGATCGTGGTGACGCCTGCCCGTTGGAGCTCGTGTTGGGCCACGAGATTGTGGCGTAGTGTGGGAACACACATACCAGTGACACTGCCCGAAGGAAAAGCTGGGCACGGAATTGTGGAGGAGCCCTTGGCGTGTGTTTTGAAACTGGAGTCTTCTCCAAGTAGACGGATTGGTGTCTCGTATGGCTTGAAGGAGTGTTGTTCCTTGTGAGTGGCCCCACTGTCGAGGGTGAACTCTATTGTGGGTGAGGTGGTTTGTGAGCTGGGACACTGCGAAATTGTCTCATTAACCATGGCAGTGCCAGGGAACAACATGTTCAGGCGCACATCAGTAGGTGCAGCCACAGCAGCCTGCACGAATTCCTGCGCTTCAACTTGATTGACCTTTGCGAGGAGCACGATTGACCATCCAGCTTGGCGGCTTCGAGGCGGTCCCATTGACGGCATACCACTCGTCATCCTTCTTCTTGAAGCAGGAGGCAAGGGCGTGGTTGGTGCCGCCACACACCTGGTCGGCACGAGGGCCGCGCTTTATGACGCCGAATGCGGTTGCGCTGGAATGGTGCCGAAGCGGCATAGGCTTGAGGCACGGGAGCGCGGATTTCATTGGCCTTGGCTTGAGCATTGTTGTCCTTTTCGGCAGAAAGGAGCGCGGATGAGACCTTGGCAAATGTGAGGTCTGCAGGAGCAAGGCCCAAGAGCATCTTGCATGTGACTTCGTATGCCGGAGTGAGGCCGACAAGGAGAGCGGCTGCAGGGGCTTGCTCGGGGAAGACTATCCCCAACTGTTTGAGTTCACCATGAATGGACTGCACCTTGGTGACATAGTCCGTCATGCCTGGCGAGTCCTCGAGCCGCACTTGGAACATGCAGGGGATGAGTATAGCAACTCCCACTGCAGTCTTGTTCAGGAAGCGATCTTCGAGGTAGAGCCAAATGGCGTTGGCAGACGGGTAGTTGTGGTAGGTTTCGACGAGTTCGGGAGGAGTGGTGCCCATGAAGACACTAATGACCGCACCATCGGCCTTCTCCCAATTCTTGTACTTGAGAAGTGCAGCAGTATAAACTGGTTGAGTAAGCCATTGTTGGTGGGAGGCTCTTTGCCGTCACCGATGTTGAGAAGGACGTCGGTGAGCTCGAGCCCCTTCACCTCGCGACTGAGGAGGTGCTTGTCGACACCATAGCGCAATGCCTGTAATTGGAGCATGTGCCGTCCGGCTCGAGACGAAGGAGCGGGATCGGGTTGGCGAGTGAAGTGGTTGAGTAAGCCATTGTCGGTGTGCAGCGCGGCACTTCTGGAAATTGGTCGACGAGAATCGTTGAAAATCACTCTGACGGCTTTATCAAAATGCCGCTAAGTAGGAAATGGCGTCGGCGAAAATTCGTTAAGAACGCCGACTTGAAACTGAATCTGAGCCTATGTCTAACCCCGGACCCACACACCCCCCCACACACCCCCAGGCCCTATCCCGCAGCTACACAGCTCCGCAACCAGCTCCGCAACCAGCTTCGCTCCGCTTCAACCTGTGTACCTGCTCTTGCTTGACGCGAGACGTTCGTGGAGGCGATTTCGCGAGGGGAGTTCGCCTATGCTGGCGGGGTCTGAGGGGAAACTCGAGAACGAGTTTTAAGAGATGGTCGAAATTGAGATTCGACCAAGGAGAACCGAGGAGGAAATCGACGATGAGAAGCATGAACGCTTCAGAGATGAGAAATTCAACGAGGTCGAGCGCGAAGGTGGTCGACGATGAATGGCTCGACTACAGAGTGGAGCATGTCGAAATTCCGACGACTCGAAACGAATGTCGCGACGATGAAGTGCGCATAGCGCGGGCACGTTGGGATTAGGACCTTGATCCGCATGTGCGGATAGGTCGCTCTTATACCAGGTAAGAAATAGAGTTCAAAATGATTGATTAGGAAAGGAGCCCAAGGCTCTATAAGTACATGGCAAGGTGAGAGTGAATGGATGAAGGGGGGAATTGGAGGGAATCCCCATTGGGATCTCCGGAATCTCCAATAGGATAATTGGAGATTGGGGGGATCACAATTGGGTGAGGTTGGGATTTGTGAGTACACCCCAACCCACTAGAACATTCATAACCTAAACTAGGATATAAAAGTACAAATACAAAAGTGGTATTTGCAGTCTATTTCTAACAGTTTTCGTGACGCTTGTGAAGCACGGCAAAAAAAGCGGAAGAAGAATTGGAGTTGCATGCGCATCTCGTCGCAAAAGCGGGCGGGGCCTCTTTCCCGGGGCAAAATTCGGTTACCATGCTGTTTTCGCGTGTCAGTCTATTATGTGCGCGCTGCCCATCCGCTCATTTGTCGAGCCACGGGTGGGGCTCGTGTCCGCTCGTGTCCCAGCGTTAGCTGTTGATACTGTAGGTGTACCTCAACACATTCACACTTTGGCGAATCAATATTTCGGCATGTTAAAAAAACGTAAAAAAATTCGTGTTGGGGCAAAATGAACGTGCTGGACACGCCCTCATGTGTTGACGAAATCAAGCTCTGGTTTCTTGTGTTGGTGTGGGCAATGCAACGCAATGATTCAGAGAGCGACTGGAATCTGAAGGGCGAGATGCTCGGCAAGCTGGACCGCAAGGCCATGCTGTTCCCTGCGGACGATGCGCTCCTCATGTCTGACTCCGTCGCCGCGGGTGTGAGCATGATGCTGAACCCGAACGCGGACCTGGAGGACGCCAAGGGGTACTGGATTTGGCTGCTCGCCAACATGGTGGACGGGCTCTATTCGGAGGAGGAGATGAGCGACGCGCGCGAGCTCAAGGACTTGAATGGCCACAAGATGGGCCAGAGTGAGGACGCCGCGGCGGCGGCGGCGGCGGCGGATCTGAGGGGGGGGAGGAAGATGCGTTTCTGGAAGGCCAACGCGCAGATTAATGACCCTGAGATTTTCAAAGGGAAGTTTCCGATCGTTCATTGCATGGACGCTCTGCAGTCGCCGTACTGACCCCCCTGCCGCTCTGCAGTCGCTGTACTGACCCGCCTGCTGGGATTCAAGCGTTTGGGCGAAAAGAAGCTCGTCTGGCTGATCAGCTTCGTAGGACCTACATACTACTGTGTGTTCCTAGGCGTTCGCCTGTGTCTAGAGCTATCTGTACCTAGACTGGGTGGAGCAACGCATTAGTGTGATGATGCTTGGCTGGAGGCTCCAGCTAGGTGTTAAATTATATATGCTAGTATATAATTGTAGGCTTGGTAGGCTTACTGAACTTTACTGTAGAGGGTACAACACCCCTCCTTGTATCCCTCTCTCTTCTATTCTGATTCTCTTTTCTCTCCTCAACTTTCCTAGCACCTAAAACCTCTCGCCATTTCCATGGCTCCTCCTAGCTCCTAGCTAAACCTCATGCCATTTTATGGCTTCCTAGCTAAGCTAGTCTTGTGACATGCTATCAGAGCAGGAGGTCCTCCCTGCTGGACCGCCTCCTCATGCTTCCGCCGCGTACTCCTCACCCTCGTTCGCTCGCGCGGCCATGGCGGCCGCGTTTTGCTGCAGTGGCGGCATCGTGATGCCGCTGGCCGCGTCGTGCCGCAGCCGTCTCAACGCGCTGCCGTGGTGTCGGGCCATCGTGCTGCCGTCGCAGCATCGACGTCCTGCTGCGACGTCGACGCCGCTCTGTGACGGCGTCGTCGGGCTGCAGCCGGCCGCACGACGCCTGTGGCGCCGCTAGACTGGCCGCCCGCATGCCAGCCTGTGGCGCCCCCCCCCCCCCCCCCCCTCCCTCCTTCCCCTGTGTCCTCTTCCTTTCCGCAGACGACGGCTGACTCCCGCCGGCCGTCCCACCGTCGCGGGGCCTGGCCACGTCACCGAGAAGTGCGGGCGCCGCCGCTGTTGTCGAAGCCGCCGCCGCCGCCGCCGCTGCTGTCGACACTGCCGCCGCTGCCACCGTCGCCGCCGCAGCCCCTGCGGTCGACGTCGCCGCCTCACGCGCCGAGGGGTCGACCGAGCTAGTGTCGCTGTCACAGTGGCTGGAATGGGGGTGCTAGGTTAGGGGGTGTGGGTGTGTGTGGGCTTGTATCTACCAAGCCTAGGGGGTGTGTTAAATTATATATGTTAGTATATTATTGTATGCTTGGTAGGCTTACTGAACTTTACTGTAGATGGTACAACACCCCTCCTTGTATAACTTTCTCTTCTATTCTGATTCTCTTTTCTCTCAACTTTCCTAGCACCTAAAACCTCTCGCCATTTCCATGGCTCCTCCTAGCTCCTAGCTAAACCTCATGCCATTTCATGGCTTCCTAGCAGGGTCCTAAATAGCAGACTTTTTTTGTCTGATTGTCTGATTTTCAGACTGGTTTTTAGGGTTTCTCTGATTTTTCAGACAACGGTTTGAAAATACTCTGATTGGCCTAGACAAGCTTTTAAGATTTCTCTGAATTTCTCAGACTAGGTGTACCAGTTTCTCTGATTTTTAGACAAGTGAATCGAGTTTCTCTGAAACAGAGACATACATGTGTACCGGCTCCACACACACCCCTCACACCCCAAAGATTTTGACAAAGTCCCCCACACCAGAGACATTCCTCCCCACACCCCTCGCATACAAAAAAAATCGGCTAAGTTCCCGACACCAGAGACATTCCTTGCTCCCCACACCCCTCGCACCCCAAAAAAATCGGCTAAGTTGCCCCCCCCCCCCACATCAGAGTCATTCCTCCCCATACCCCTTGGGGGCGGGGGCAAACCCTGAAACAGCAGGGCCAAAAGAGAGAGGGCTGCCTGCACATGACACGTCACGTGAGTCTCATCGCCCTTAGGACCCGCTCGAAAAGTGTGCGTTCTTAGCGGACGCTCTCGAAGCGTGCCAGCAATCCTGTTGCGCACGTTTCGAAATCGGCTGGAAATCGTGCCCGAAATGAGCTCCCCCCAGAAACGACAAATAATGGCTGACGAAAAGTAAATACACGACTTCGTCATATTCGGGCAGATTCGTCAATGCCGTGGCAAAAACAGCGAGGCCTCCTACTACCGTAACTCCATTTCTTTCGCCAATATTTTTTGGTTTTCGCTGCGCTGAGCATTTGTCGTATCAAAGACTGGACACAAGGCCGAAGCAAACATGCTCTCTGTGGTCGAAAGGTGAACCTCGCGACATCTACATTCCCCGTAACATTTTTCCGAGCATGTACAGAAGACGTAAAAAGCGCGTGTCAGGGCAAAATGTGTTGTGATATAATTGATACTTCGCATTTCTGTAAGTCGATTAGGTGTAGATAGTGTCGAATCCTATTGTAGAACATAAGTCCGTAGGATGACGTCAGCAAATAGCGCTCGTCATAGGACAGTCGTTTCAGTTACGCGAACAGTCGCACCTCTTCATTATCGTTTAGGGCGCATAGCGCGATAGTGACGAACATGTACATTAGCGAATAGGTACTTTCCTAGAGCTATAAATCTTTGTTGTGTCCTTTTTATGATTAACCTTGAGATTTCAACTTTGAGAACTTTGAGACTTAACTTCTGCAGAAACATATACTCAGGTTCACTCTTACAAGACTTCCACTGTCTTACTAGTCTACCGTTCCAGTAGAGATCCTGGACCAACACTTGAGGATTTCCAAGTGTTAGTGTTTGCAGTTTTATACTTAGTCTTCTACAACATTGGACAAGTTATTTCATGGTATGAGAGCTATCTGGAATTAAGACTACTGTCAACAATGACTGGTTCATCACCAGCACTGTCTGCCGGATCAACTTCCGGAACTACTGGAGTACATGTCTCCACTACCGCCACTGGTCTCTCAGCCTCTAGGCCGTTTCCACCAGCCTATGCTCATATCGGTATGCAACAGCAGAATCCGCCTTCTGTTAACACTCCAGGTGTTTCTTCGACTGCACCTGCAGCGCAACAACAACAATCACAGACAACAGCACAGCAACAAGCGTCAGTACAGCCACCAGTTTCAACGCAATCAATATCGTCAGCGTTCAGTGGAATGAGCCTTGACGGCTCAAGTTATATGCGTGGAGTCACAGCTCCAAGTACTAGTTTGTTCACTTTCTCACCTTCTGTACAGCAGCCGCAGTCGCAGCAGATTCAAGCATCCTTTCTACATTTTCGGCCGTTCCCCTGCTCAGCAACAGCAACAACAGCAGTATCATCAGCAGCCACAGGAATTTCAACAGCAACAGCAACAGCAACGACAGCAACAGCCGGGTATTATTTTTCAGCCTCCAAATTTACTTAACAGCACACAGATAAAAACCACTATACCTTTTAACGGAGTCGACTTCTACTCCTGGAGCTTTGAGTTTGAACTTCTGGCGCAGTCCGCTGGGCTATGGCCGTTCTTCACCGGCGAGTTCACGTATCCTGTCGTGGGAACACAACTGCAGCAGCAGAGTTTCTTGCACGCCTCTCTCGGGGCTTATACAGTTCTTGTTCGGAACTTGTCGCCGAAGGAGCAGCTCGGCGTCCGATCATTTCACTCAAGCTTTACACCAGCCGAAACTGCTTGGAACCATCTGAAGGGGGTATACATGGCAAAGGATACAATAACAGTGAGTAAAATACTTTCGCAGCTGACAAGTGTACAGATGATGACAAACGAAAATGTCATGGACTACGTCAACCGCGTCCGTACACTACGAGATCAACTGGAGAAGAGTGGAGGATACTTCCCTCGTGAGATGTATCTCACGGTACTTCTTGCTGGTCTTGGACCCGAATGGCGACAGACACGCGTCTTTCTGCGAATGAACCCGAACCATTCCGAAGCCGAAATCTCTTCATATCTTCAAGCAGAGCAGCAAGATCTTGACCTGCAGTCACAACGCAATCAGAAGAAACGGGTTCATTTAAGTTTTTACTCCAATCCAGAACCACAGCACTGACATCCTCCAAAATATCCATTCTGCTATTTTTGTAAGAAACCAGGACATACTTACCAAAATTGTCGCAGTCGACATCAAAACCGACGCAGCACTTCACAGCCTTATCATCGCTTGCAGCAGTTACTGAAGCCACCTCAGTCCGCGCAGCAGTCAACGACCCAAATGCAGCAGATGCCAAAAACGCTGCAGAATCCATCTCCGTCACAGCATCGTCCTCCGGTTTTTGCAACTGCAACATCAGGGAAAGGGGTCTTTGGATGCGTCACCACAGTTGATGTTTCAGAAACAGATTTTGAGACACGACTTGAAGAAACCACAAGTGCTGAAGGCATTCCCTTACCTCAAGTTTACGCTAACCTTGCTCGAATAATTTCAGGTCCAAATACTTGGTATCTCGACAGCTGCTGCGGTTGGCACATGTGCTCCGCAGAAACAAGCTTCATCACCAACCAGCGTCCACTTCGTCGTCCGATATGTCACAGTTGCAAACGGACAAACTATTATGGCACAACGTCGTAAAATTTTAGACTGTTTCACTGCTTGGATTGTTGGATATCGCTTCCCGAAGTTCGCGCACTTTCCTGGATGTGATCACGAAGTGCTACTGAAATTTCCACCAAGTCCTAGTTTCATCAGCTAACTGCCATCTTTCCCCATCAGCTAACTGCCATCAGCTAGCAGCAGCAGCAGCAGAAGTAGCAGCAGACGCAGCAGCAGCAGCGGCAGCAGCAGCAGCAGCGGCAGCAGCAGCAGCAGCGGCAGCAGCAGCAGCAGCAGTAGCGGCAGCAGCAGCAGCAGCAGTAGGAGCAGCAGCAGTAGCTACAGCCATCCCCATCCTCCCCTCCTCTTTGAGCCGCCACGGGTCCACCTGCCGCCGCTCCCTCCCGGCCACCGCGGGTCCACCCGCCGTCGCCTTCCTCCCACTCCGTGTCACCAATGGCATCCTTTCCCCCTCCTGTCGACGTTTTGACCCTTGATCAATTGGTGCGCGCTGCCGACAACTCAGCAACCAACTGGTATTCCTTCGTCGGCAGCCTCCACCGCGTCCTCGGCAGTGCTTATGTCCTGCCGTTCCGCCTCCTGGACATCATGCTTGGTCT